AATAATAATAGGAATTATAAATTATTAGCTAGATTAGCAAAATAAAAAGCAGAAAAGAGGGTTGTTGCAGCTATCACCTCCTCAAATGGCAATATCAAAACCTCTAAAGTTGACATAGTAGAGGAATTCTGAGAGTTCTACTCCGAACTCTCTGCTGAAGAATCGCCCCCCCTCCTCTCGATAAACTTAATTCATTCCTCGATTCTCTCAAATTTTTGAAAAGCAAGGAACCACACACCTCTCTACTCAACCAGCCCATCTCATTAGAAGAAATCAAATGGGCAATCCAAAACCTCAAACCAGGCAAATCTCCTGGATAAGATGGATTTACAGAAGAATTTTACAAGTTATGTTGCCCCACACCTACAAGATCTATTCAATGAGATAATGTCACAAGGCCTATGTCCCCAATCCGGGCACATTTCCAGAATTGTCTTCATCCCCAAAACAAGCAACTATCAACCTCCCACTTCAGCATTTAAACCGATAGCATTAATAAACAAAGATGTGAAATTACTGACCTCAATTCTAGCGAATAGTATTAATAGCTTCATCACTGATTAGTAAGTATATCTCTATTGACCAAACTGGCTTTATGCTGAATAGAAAACTTCTGATGCCATTAGATGAGTCCTAAATGTCATCCATTATGCTTCAAAATCTAAACCCCATTTGCCCTTATGTCCCTAGATGCATTAAAAGCTTTTGACAGAGTGAACTGGCAGTACTTATTTGGAGTACTGAGAAAGATGAACTTTGGAAATAAATTTATTAGTATGTTAGAAAACCTATACACAAACTCAGAGGCCTTAGTGACAGTCAATAGAATAAACTCCTCTACCTTTAGGCTCCAAAGGGGAACTAAACAAGGATGTCCTTTATCCCTGCTGTTATTTGCTATTGCAATAGAGCCTTAGCCAATTCAGTCAGAGAAAATGAAAACATAAGGGGGCCCAAAATAGAGGAACAACCCATAAATGAAATCTCTTTGCAGATGATGTGATCATCTTCCTAAAACAACCCAAACAATCCTTCCCTACCTTACGCACCATATTAAACTCCTTTGATACATTTGCAGGTTTCTGAATTAACTATTCAAACTCTAAATTGTTGTGTCTCAATGTTGCTCATGAGGACCAACTAGACATTCAAAAAGCTACCAATCTCCAGTAAAAACCCTCAGGATTTACTTACCTAGGAATCACCGTTACAAAAGATTTCAATCAAATAATCCCCAGAAATTACAACAAAATAGTTAAATGGTTAATCTCTAAAACACTAGAATGGAAGAGATTGAAACTCTCTATTCTAGGCAGAATAGCCCTCATTAAAATGTTTATTGTCCCTCACCTATCCTTGCTATTTCAAACTATCCCACTTCACCCATCGCAGACAAAACTCAAACTTTGGTAAAATCTCATCTATGCATTTGCTTTTAACCGTAAGAGACCCAGATTCAGGAAATTGACACCTCTCTTCTAAAAAAGGGGAGTTAGCATTGCCTGATCTTGAATTATATTTTGCAGCATTCCAACTTAGTCAAATCCCTCATTTAATTAAAAAAGATCAAAGCATACACCGGGTTAACATGGAAATGAATGACCCACCATCGATCGATTTTGCTTTGTTCTGTAACAAACCCACTC